CTTTTCACTTTTTTGATTGGACCTTATCCTGCGAAGATAAAAGGATGGGACGTGTGGTCTGAAACACCCGGTATAGTCATATCTGTAATTAAATTCAAGGTACTACACCATTGCAGGATACCAGTGGAATATCTAAGCGTTTCAGCATTTTATGCATCTGCACGCGAATTTCTGTAGCTCTCCGCAAAGCTTTGTGATTAAGGAAATATTTCTGACACCAGGCGGGCGTTTTATTCTGTTCAAAAGCTGTGTAAACATTCAACAAGGTAAGAAGATCTCCTTCTTCCACTTCGAATTTGCGATGAGCTATTCTTGCTTTTAGAACCGCTTGCCCTCCGCCGGGTTGTATGAAAACGTTCTGAATTTGTAGCATGGCGAATATTGTCGTGATCTCCTCGGAGCATCCCATTTCACCTATCAACAAAAAACTTATAAATTTACTGTCATAATCATGATTTTATATCACTATTGTATTTTTTTAGAGATTGAAAATCTTTGATTTAAAAAAATGTCACTGATTTATGAAGAAATTTTGCATTTTTCTATTGTACTTAAAAAATTTATTAACATATATCTATTCTTATGATATATATACCAGATGTGATTAAGGATTTCGCCAGCACTGGCTCCAACGGCATCTCCGCCATCGTAAGACCTAATGGCATCGTCAAATCTCCGTTACTGTCGATCGCACCTAATGCGTAAAGCAATTCCAATCCCGTAACTAGAGTTTTGCTGGGCGGCGCGGATGGAAAATTGAAACGCAATACATTATCGATGCCCAGAGCCTTCAATTGCAGTATCGCTGGCGCCAAATCTGACCGCTGCATTTCCGGCGGAGTAGCTTCGAACAATTCAGCGTAAGCCTCTTCCGTGTACAATCTATTTATTATAAGATCGCAAAATATTTTACTATAATAATGCAATAATTTCTATATTCAGAATTAATATAGAAAATAATATACAAATAACACAAAATCCAAAATCGGGACATGAGATGTCTTATAAGACATCTTTTATATGTCTTAGGAATTTTTGTATAAGTGTCTTTAAGACATCTTATGTCTCGAATTTGGACTTTTTGCCCAAATTATTTTCTGGGTACATTACTGTTATATCTTACAATTGTTAGAATCATATATAATTAGTCTTCCTGAAAACATAAAACAAAAAAAAACCGTATAATTTGCTTCTTTTTTACCTAAATGCTTTTCCAGTACGTACGCGACCTGCGCGGCCGGCTCGTTGGTTGGCGGAAGCTTTCGATATGGGCACGATAACGAGACTGTTCGTCTGCGTTTCCGCTTCAAACCAAGGTATCTTGACAAAACCGCAATCGATTACTGCACATTACAAAGTTCCGGTTACATAATGTCGTCAAGTCAAACGTTGAGAAGGACAAAAAGTACACTAATATACCGTAGGTAACATACCGTAAACAATATTTGGAATAGTAATAGACGTTTCCGCGATATTTGTCGCTACGATAATTTTGCGAGTGTCTTTAGCGGCCCTCCAAAATACCTTAAGCTGTTCCGCGTTCGGAAGCGATCCGTACATCGGCAAAGGAAGCAGTTTCTCTAGAAATAATTTATTCGATTTAATGAAGTTTTAAATTTCTTCAAAAAATATTAAATATATTAAAGCTTATACATAAAATATAATAACTACCCGAGATCACAATAATGTTGCTAAAACTTTTATCTGAAATATTTTTGGGTAAAAGGCGTAGGAAAAAAGATATTTGCGGCAAGATATTAAAATAGCCCACCCTGTGCGCGCGCGCGCGCGCACGCACGTGTAGGAGAGAATTAAGGATTAATGAAACAACTTATGAATTGAGTCCTTTTCTCGAAATTTTTCTATTTAAAAAATTCCAAGTACTCTGCTCTCTATTTTTGAGAAATTCCTCGATTATCTTACTCACGTTTGTCATCCTTTATAAGCTTTGCATGTTCCGATAAAAGGGATACTGCTTGATCGACTTCATCAAGTCCTGTGAGGAACGCTAGGATATCACCCGATTCCTCCGTATCATGTATTTTTAGAGCTGTGTCTACTACACCATTAACATAATTCGCCATCGGCTCTGCAACGTAATACAATCTTAATTAAACAGTGAGAGTTATAATTTCAGTCACGAACATGACTCTGTGGAATATGTGTGTACCTTTGAGAAAAAATACGTCCACCGGATACAATCGCCCCTCGACGCTCATGATAACCGCGCTATTTTTACTGGAGTCCTTCGTCGTATTTACGTTAAAGAAATCTCGAAGTTCCTCCGCGTCAACCGTCGCTGACGATACGATAATTCTCAAACTCTTCCGTTTCTGCAAACGTTCATGAGATATATAACGTCAATTTATTATGTTCCGCGCAAGAAAAATTACGTTTGTTATAATGAACATCAAACTCTCTCTTACCCTGATTATTTTTTTCAGCAGCCCCATTATGATATCAGTCAAAAGGGTTCTCTCGTGCACTTCATCCAGGATAATGACCGAGTAGCTTGTTAATAACGGATCCCTCATTAATTCTCTTAGGAGAATACCCTCTGTCATGTACTACAAACACAATTTATATATTAGTCTTAGTAACGAAGTAATACGCACGTAATATATATAGACGTTAATATAAAATAAATATATATAGAAAAATATACAGTGTCTCACAACTACGCACTTCTTTTTAAGAACGTATTCTTGAGGTAATTTTGAGTCGAAAATCCTAATACAAAAATGTCGAGGCTAGTTTTTGAATTATAATTGGTTAAAGATGGTGTGTAATTCGAAAACTATTATAGCCTTGATATTTTCGTCTTAGAATGTTCAAAAGAATCCAGAAATAATAATAGAGCCTATAAAAGTAAAATGGTTTTTTACTTATAAGCATTTAAAGTTAGCTTATAATTTAAAAAATTATTGTGGTCTCGACATTTTCATATAAGGATTTTCGTCTTAAAATTACCTCAAGAATATGTCCTTAGGAGGAAATGTGGTAGTTGTGAGACATCCTGTAGGTAGAAATAAATACATAGAAAAATACTGACATTATTTCTTATCTCATTATGATATAACAACAGAAAAGCACCATTAATCATGTTTCATAATGTAAAATTAGACAATATTTTGAGTACAAGTCGTGTTTTGCGTTTCATTTATCTTCTATTTACAGTGTTATACCTTAATCCTAGTTGTTTCATCAGTGTAATCATCGAAGCGTATGCAATAACCGACGGTGGTCCCTAGAATACAATTACGTTCGTCGGCCACGCGATTTGCCAGAGAGGTGACCGCGACTCTTCTCGGCTCCGTAATGCCGATCTTTTTTCCATCTGCACACCACCCTGCTTCAAGAAGATACTGAAAAGTAAAAAACATGGTTTATATGCATAATATCACGTTAATTTGTTACAAAACATTAGATTTTACTGTATATTATGTTACAGTACAGAAAATATATTGAATTCAATAAATATTCATTAAAAAAATACGTAATTAACATGAATAAAAAAGATATTGATAAAAATTAATTTATTAACAGATTAAATATTATCCAAATAATATTGCTGTGCCTAGCGGCCGAAGTCACATATTCTCGCATTCGCCGCCGCGTTCGCGCTTCCACAAACATGCAGAAATAAAGGAGACACTTTCTTTGGTAAAAGTAAACTCTCTTTAATTGAACTCGACATTTACATACATATGTATATGTGCGCGTGAATATATTAATATTTGTTATTATTATATTTACAGACAGTAAGTTTTTATATAATTTTGAAAAATATTATACATTGAAGGATTTATTTTTTGGTGGAAAACAATAAAACAAATGAACAAGTATTTCAGAGATTAATTATTTATATAAAAATATTTTATTGCATATTTTCGTTATAAAAATAATACAAGATTCTCTCTCTCTCTCTCTCTCTCTCTCTCTCTGTCTCTCTCTAGCCATAGCGTTATAAAATTTAACGAAACCTTATATCAAATGAAATCATTTATATAAAAATATGTTATTGCACATTTCCGTTATAAAAATAATACAAGATTCTCTCTCTCTCTCTCTCTCTCTCTCTAGCGTTGTAAAATTTGATGAAACCTTATATCAAACGCAACTATTGACATTGACCGCATATTATCTAGTAAAGTTTTTTGCATACGTCACGTAACAGTTTTTTTTACGTACGTTCGTTATATTCATGCTGCAGTTAGGTAACATACTTGGCACTGGATTAGATAAAAATGCCTATCTGCAGACAATAAGTGACCTACTTCGACGTAAATATAACGTTGTTTTGTGTGTAGTAGCGATAAGAAAAAAAGGATTGGAACGTTGCGTATAGTTATTTTACGAATTTCGGCTTTTATTCAGAACATTTTTCATGTTATTTTGTTAAAGCAGCATTATATATATCTAAAAGTTTTATTATTTACAACTTAAGAATACAAGTAACTCGTAACGATATATTTTTCATATATCACATATATAAAAAAGCTATATAAATTAAAATTTTTTTCTTAATTGTACATGTTTACGTTACGTTATTATACATGTATTATATTTTTATGTGTATATTTATATATACATATAAGTATAAATGTATGTATGTATTTTTATCATGTATTTATTTAATATAATGTAACGTCATATATGAATAACGCCAGATACACGTTACTTTTATTTACGTTTATTAATATATCAAAAGATTCGTAAATAAATAATTTGTGAAGAAAAGAATGGAAATTTGCGATAACGTGAAATTACAAATATCTAATTTTTTGTTTCTATATCTGCACCTTAATTTTTATGTTAAATAAAATAATGTATGTAATAATATATGATCATTAATATAATAATCACGTAATCACATCATTTAAGAAAAAATAGATATTCAAGATGATTGAAAGAAATGACCTCTTCTGCCGCGCGAGCATCCATCATATATTATAAAAGGACCATACGTAAAATATAAAACTAAATATAAAAAAATGATGTTAAACTATAATAAAAAAAAATAGACTTTAAAAGAAACCTTTTCCATGCTGACGCTTGACGCTCATTTTTAGCGACGAAACAGGTCACATGATCGAAATAGACGCTCGATATTTGTCAACTTTGATCATGTGTGGCTCGTTTTGACGCTAAAAATGAGCGTCGAGCGTTAGCATGAAATTGTACCTTTATGCATTAGGAAATGCATACAAGGAGGATCGCAAGCTCTCGTTCACCGACAATATTTCTACATAAGTGTACGTGTAGTGAAGCTCGCTGATAAGGATAAGCAGAAACAACATTGTGGGTAGTTGCCACCACGTGAGTCTAATGTATTCCCAAATGCGATCCAAAAATATTGCCAGAAGAAAATAGTCCATCATTGCGTGGAAGTTAAAGATCTTCCATGCAAGGGCGATAGCCCAGAAAGAGGAACTTCTGAACACGACAGTTTGCCTATCGTAGAGATCCTCTCGGCTGATCGTCGAAGAGATGTCAGTTTCTAGAAGATCCTGGTACACGGATATATATCGGTTCCAAGCGATGCTTGTCAGGGAAAAGTGGAGACCCACCATCAGCATGTTGTACAGAGGTGATTTCCAGAACGAAGTGGAGGAAACGGAATTGTGGGACGACAATGACGATGACATCAACGTCCGGATGGGCAGTAACTCGTAACCGACTCGGTGATTAGAGTTGCGCCTCAGAAAAAAGAATACCGCGACGGCGAGAGCAATGCAGCCGAGACCGTCGCAGACGCCATCCACGAGATAACCGATAGAGCCGACGTCCGATCTCTCACCCTTGATGTTAAGCCTCATCCTTGCCACATGGCCGTCTAGATCATCCAGCCAGGCTCTGACTTGGAATAGGACGACACCTATCCGTCTGTAAAAGAGGGAACTCCGTGTGATGTAACGGGCGCCGATTACAGCCACCGCTACATGAGAAACGCTGATGGCGTTTGGCGTCAGCCATATCCAGGAACGACTAATGCCTAGTAAATAATCCACTAGGGATGCCAGGGGGCTCAGGACATAGTGATTAGGGTGATCCAACGTCATGGCCTTCACCGTCACCGTGCAAATCGGATTTAGATCGCACAAGATCGGCGAACGATACGATGAAGCTCGCGTGTCGTTCACGGATGGACGTACATCGTAGTCCTGCACTCGAAAATAAAGTAACAAATCCATTCCGACGAAGTACAGCAGGAGTAGAAACGCCAGACACGCCTTACTGATAAATGCCGACGAATACATTTTCCGAGATCAAAGGATCAAATTGTTCTATGCTCTTCTCGTTACTTTGTTTTTCCCCTTATAATATTGTTCTCTTATTTATTTATTTATTTATTTATTTATCTAAGTCAATTGCTATTATTCTTTTAATCGCTTACTTAATGGCTTATTATTGTTTCAGGTATTTTTTTCTTATCTAATTAAAAAGGTCAACACACTCCGTCGCAGCAGTAGATTACTAATTAGCGTTACCGATGTTCCATAAATTCAACTTGCGTTTTATGTGTCAACAAAAATCTTGTCAAGCATTATTCTTCTTATTTTGTGGCTTGTTGATCAACTTGTTGATCGACGTTAAGCCTATGACATTCTTCGCGGTCTGATCCTCCTCTGCTCGTCCTTTCTCTGCTCTAGATGCGTCGGAGTCCGCAATTTGATTTTTAATCGTTCCAAACTTTCCACGCAATGTTAGTAGCTTTATGAGAACAGCTCCTGTCGTTGTGCTGACTGTGCGTTTTACCAATAACTAGCAGCGCCTTGCTGTAATAAAAATTATGTCACGTTGTAATTACGTCACGTTGTAATTACGTCATGTTGTAATTACGTTGGAATTAATTTGACATCGAACACATACACACTTTTGCCGCAGAATAAATCCCATTCTGCTATGTATATCGCATCGTTGATCGCGCGTATTCTGAAATATTTTGCAATACGTTGCGTTTTAAGCCACAACTGTAGATCATTATCAACTCGCCTTTATCACCTATTTTTCTCATATCAGATTATGACGTGTTTGTTATTTTCAGTCTATTTCAGATAGAGGTAGATAGGTAGATAGAAACAACCGGACACGCACGTGCATCCCGCTCTTTTCTTTTAGTCTTTTTAAATTCTTTTTCCACGAGAGACCGTGCGCGATCCACGAAGTCGCGGGTCATACTAATGGAGAGGACAGGACAGTCCTCGTGGTCTGTCGAGTTGCGTTACCTTCACCGATCACGGATTTCACTCTATTCCGTAATAGGTCAATATCAGAATTTGATTTACGAATATCTTTAATCCAGTCCAACAGAGAACTCGCGCGCCTGCCGGACGTTGACACGAACCGCGTTAAACTGCAACGCTCGCAAGGAGTCCCGCATACGGAATAATATATTGCTCGGAGATAATACAAACACGATAAGAATGACAGAACGCGAGTATCTCTCCTCCCGCTCTTTCCTACTTCCTACGACTTACCCAAAGAACATCTCTACGGCCAAATGTTCCAACACTTTCGCATTTACAGTTGAATTCTAATAGACCATACTCTCCTGCGCAGATTTCTATTTATATCTGCGCGGTGTTGAATTTCGTTAGTGAAGGTTGCATGTGTAACGGAAAATGCTATAGAGGTACCAATGTTCGTCATGTTTAAAATTGAATGACACGGGCAAGCCCGGAGAGGAAAATATGAATTTTTATTTCCACGTATGAATAATTCATGAAAATAAAACTGGTTATTCTTCTTCTCTCTACGCTCAAAGTCAATGCGTGGTTGCACGTGTTTCAATATATTATACTTTTAGTGTATAAAATATAACTTGTCGTGCCACTGTTTCTTTAATCATTACGGTCGGATAATTTTCAATATTTGCTGCGCTCAATTTGTAACTAGTGTTGCCTACATGGATTCAAATATATTCAGCATATTCATTTTATTTGATTGCAGTCAGCATAGTACATGTAACTATGATAATAGGTCTGTTCTTTTCAGATGAACTTCTTGCATAATTCATCTCTCTTTTTCTTTTTCTCTTCATGTTGGAGAAAAAAAAGAGAAAAGATTTATGTGCGTGCGTGCGCGTGTCAAATGTATAAGACATTTAGCTAAAAACAACAGGTCTTTCTCGCGACTATCTAAGATGAAAAAAAACTTATTGAGCAATTAGAGTTTCCTTTTTGTGTATTTTTTTGAAAACAGGTATAACTAAAAAATTTATAATTTAAATAAAGGAATCGTCATCTACTATCATCTCTCTTGACAAGATATTAAATCTTTCAACTCATTTCGCTATTGAAATATATACTGACATTGGCAGTTATTGATCGTCACAGCTGTAGACATTTATGTCAACACAGTGAATTATAATACAAATGGTATAAACTTTTCGCAAATTCAATTGGACGCATTAGTGTGCACAAGTGCACATTAAAACCGTTGAACACTGATTTAATCTATGTAAAAGTAAAATGCAAATATTTTGAATTATAAAATACGGATTTTACTTACAGCATAATAAAACATACTGAGAATTTCATGTTCAATCCGTTCTTACATGTACATTGAACACACATTTCAATACTTTCCATCCTCATGGAAGCAAGCCAGTTTTTCCAATTCTTAAAAATCTATTAATTACCCTCTCCAAATTACTTGAGCAAATCTGTTTTAGGCAATTAAACGTCTTCTTCAAGATCATTAATGTTATACCTAATTGCCAGTTTAGTTTCCGGAGCATGCACAGTACTACGACTGAATTGTTGCATTTGTCCGACATGGTGTTGCGGGGCTTTGACGTCGGTTCGGTGACGGCAATAGTGGCCCTCGATTTTTTGAAGGCTTTCGATACTGCCAGTCACAGACTACTTCTTGCCAAACTTAATTACTACAGTTTATCCCCCTTTAACCGTTTCCTTTCTAATTAATTGTTCCCAGCGAGTCCTTCTCTTCCTACTTTATCTCCCCTATCCGAATTGTCCCATCCGAAGTGCCTCAAGGACTGACCTCGTACTTCTGCTATTTACAATGTTCACGGCTGATGATCTAAGCTCCATTCATCTTAGCTCCAAGTTGTTTACGCTGACGACGCCGTTCTTCTTTTCTCCTTCTATCCGTCTGAGGCTTCTTCGACCATCGAAATTATAAATTTCTGCAATACGCGGTCGAGTGGACCTCTTCATCTGAATTCCTCAATATCTTCCTTGCTCTCATCATGATTTTTTCCCTGCATTATCCCGTCTTCTTCCTTTTAATGTTTTCCTTAATTTTGCACATTCTATCGACCTCACGAAAGCTTATTGTATCTTAACTCCTTATTATCTCATTGTTCATTATTTGATTTGCTAAATTCTATTCAGAGTATCAAAAATTTCTATCTTTGTTTTTATAATATATATTTTTCTTATAATATATTCTCTCCACAAGTATGATAACATCTCTCTTTTTTCTTAAAATCCGGTTGGCTAAAAATCTCTCAATGCTTCATCCTTCATTTGTGTTGTTTTGTGTATAGTCTTCTTCATTTTACAACACACTCCTTTGTATCTACATAATTTGTATCTCTTGCATTTTAACTCCGAATTCTTACAACACTCCTAATACTCGGTATCATAATTTCTTATTTTTTCCTCTACATCGTTCTGCCAAGTTTAAAGCCGCTTTCTTCTATGTTGTTGTCAAACGTTTCAATATGCTACCTTACATCATCCGAGTTTCCTCATCCCTGTTTTCTTTTTGTGATGCCGTCGCTCGATTTCTATCTATGAAATGTTAACACGTTATGGCATTTCCGATATTGTATCTCTGATATTGCAACCTTTCTATCTCTTGCTCTACAGTTTGACATCCGAGAGCAATATATCTTTTGTTAATTATACTTTTTTTATTTACACGCACGCGCGCGCGCGCACGCACAGTCTTTTTAAATATTATAATCTTTTATTATTATTATTATTACTGTCATCATTTCTTTTTCTTGATTTGTTATTCTCTTTGCTTTTTGATTATGCTATGTATTGTTCCATGACAGTCATTTTTTTGTTTGCTTTTGCTTACTGATAGATGTAACAACAGTACTGCTGGTGCCTCACCAAATTATATACTTACCTGTTCATGTTTACTGCAATCAATCAGTGTACCTCTATTTGGTACACAATAAATAAGATGTTTAATTTTCACATTAATTTATGTACAATGGCTTTAATGTGCATCCAGTATACACTGAATGCATCCAATTGAATTTCGCGACTATTAATCATCTTAATTAAAGGTCTGTTCTTCATAACTAAACCAGTGTACACTCGTTACAGTTTAAATTATATATATATATATATATATAAAGTTTGGCCAAAGTAAAAAAGAAAGTTTTAGTGCAAACTGGAATTCAGTGTAGCGATAAAGAACAGGAGACTAAACACATTATATATTTGATTGAGTTTTTACCTGAGGGACTTGTGTACTTTTACCACAGCCTGTTTCGCCGACTAAAACCAAGGTCTGGTATTTCTCCAACAAGTAAATAATGTGATCTGTGTTTTTGAATATAGGCAATCGTTGACGTTGCATGTCGAGCGCGAGCGAATGATGTGCATTGTAAACAAATTGTGTCGATGAATGGGCATCAATGTCAGGTCTATCCTCCTGCCATGTGCTATCTCCTGATTAATAAAGTTACTTGATTAGTAATTGACATCTTACAATTTTTATTTTGCAAATAAAACTCATGCATTTTTTTTATTAAATTAAACTATTTGGTTAGATAAATATTGAATAGTAGACGACGAATTGTCGAATTGCAATCGCAACTTTTTACTCAAAATGGCAGTTAAATAATTATTATTTATTTGCATATCTCGATAATCCACAATATAAACGTTGAAGGCAACTTGATCTAATGAAATTGCAATAAATACACGATTGAATGACATAACCTTACCCGGCTTGGAGAAAAGCAGCCGAAACATCTTTGGAGTTTAAAACAACTTTGACAGAAGATTTATATTTACATATATGTATATAAGTTAAATGGAAAAATACAGGTAATATAAGTAAAGTCAAAATAAATACAACTCTATATCAATACCATGAGAGGCGTCTAACAGCTGCTAACAATGAGTGTCCAATGTATCAAATTATGATACATACCAATTCTCTCTGATACATACCATAGTGGAAGTATATTAAAGCCCATGGCACATACAAAAACGTAAGGCCGTAATACGTAAGCAGTAAAGAAATCGTAAGATTGGATTCGCTACTGGCCTTAGGC